CCTGTTTCCTAGCCTCCATTCCTGCTGTCTCATATACTGCCCAGCCAGTATCTCTATGTCCTTTTTTCTGTCTCACTATTGCCCTCTATTCCTTTTAAAATAAAAACTTCCATTCTGAGGTATGAAACTTTGTGACACTCGGTACTCTTCAAACCAACAGACGTCTTAAGCAAAAACCTGGACCCAAAGAATTAGCCAAGGAACGGGGAGCTGTATATCATGATCATTAGCTGTGCATTATTTTAGCTGTAGATCCAAACTTGAGCCCTTCTGCTTCAAGTTATGGGGGAGGCATGGAAATACCTCAAAATCAACACAGGTAATTGTGAGTCTGAAGTCTGTAGCTCAGGATCATCATTCTTCTTGCACCATTTCTTAGCACATCCTCAGCATTTTGATATTTCTTGTTTAGGGCAGGGGATCACTAATTGTTCACCTCAGGATGACAGGTTGTTTTGTTCTGTTGTTTCCCCTGTAGGTGATAGCGAGATTGTAAATAATATGTACGAGACCGATCCCGATCTGCTGGCTGGTGAGAGTGCAGAGGAGGAAACAGAGGACAGTATTATGTCCCCCATCCCTGTCGGCCCTCCATCACCTTTTCCCACCAGCGAGGACTTCACCCCCAAGGAGGGCTCACCTTATGAAGCTCCTGTCTACATTCCTGATGACATTCCAATACCAGCAGATTTTGAACTCAGAGAATCCTCGATTCCAGGGGCAGGGCTAGGGATCTGGGCCAAAAAGAAGATTGAAGTTGGGGAAAGATTTGGACCTTACACGACGGTGCAAAGGAACACGCTAAAGGAAACAAACTTTGGATGGGAGGTAAGCAAGCTGAATATGATTGATCACGCTCATTTGTCTTGTACAAACTGTTTAATAAGCTAGACTGAGTCCTGACTGGCCTGGGGATAGAAGTGTATGGGAAGGAGTGACTTTACTAATGTCATGTTTCCCTGGCTTATCTTGCAAACCAGTTTGCACGCACTATTTAAAGAAAAGGTGTCCAAAATCCTGTAGGTCTTCCTCTGGGCTACAAATACTGCTCTAGCACTATTTTAGCCTTACTGATGTACCATTTCTTAAAATACATATTCTTGCAGTTTTCAAATTGTGTTTCAGAACTTGCTGCCAGAACAGAACAAGTAAGATTAATTGCATCATACATTTGCAGATCGCAAAATATTTCAATATGCCACCCTAGATATTCAGTCTGTGTTTGTGTTGCCAGACCTTACAAGCTGTTCAACGAGAATAGCTTGCTAACATCCTTGAAGCAGGTGTTCTGGAGCTCCCTATCCTGTGACCATGGTAAAGAGACACAAAAAGACATGGGGCAGGGTTTCCTCTGGAACTGAACAAGGAATTTTTTTAGAATATGGAAAACAGTGTCGAACCCCAGTGGGAGGTTTATCCTTAGACTCTTCCCCAGCCTCCCCCATTTGTATATTCCTACGTGCTCTGACACGTTCTGATATGAATGCACCAGAGCAGACTCAAGTAATTAAGTTTGCTCCAGCGTGCTGCAGTGTCGCGTGTATTTAGCGTCCCCGTGTTTCAAAATGGCACTTTAAAGCTGGTCGAACAAGCTTTAGTTAAAGCACCCCCACTGCCATTTTGGAACACGGGACCCTAAATACACGAGACACTGCAGGCATTTTAATTAGAGCAACTCCTGAGAGCTGCTCTAATTAAAATGCCCCTCCCCCCACCCCAGGAGTCCAAAGTATTCTTCCCCACCATTAAATGGGGAATCCCTTTAGGACTGAATCTGAGGGCCACGTATTCAGATAGCATGGACTGGTGTCAGTCTATTGCTTTTCAGCCGTTTCACATTCTCCAGAGATTTGGCACAGTATCTGTCACTTCATGCTTACACATATCTAATGAGGTTTAAGACACTGGGTTCGAGAAGAGGAACTGCGGAATTCCTTTTAAACTGTATTGCCTGTGATTTAGACATGTTCGTTATCTGTGCGCTGCTAGGAGTGACAGTAGCATCCCAATAAGCTTTCTCATTTGAAAAAAAAAAGAGGCAGGTAGGATCTGTATGATTTAAACGAGCACAAGGCAATAGAACAACAATTAATATGATGTTGCTCTGAAATTCTCTGGCACAGTTCGTTTCACTGCATCGATGCAGACAGCTCATTCTAAGGGAAGCTTAGCTACTGCATATATTTACTTGTGCCTGAATCTCTTTCACTTACAGATGTATTAGAGCACAGATCGTCTATTTAAGAACCATTTAAGTCTCTTCAGTGCAGGATGATGTAACAGTCACAGACCCATGAAATCTAACTTGGTTAGACTTTTCTTTTTCTCCAGTAAGTTATAACCGGGGAGAATTATTTCAGAATGTTACATTAGCTCAAGCATATATTGGCAGCTTTGAAGAAACTTTCTTCAACTAGTTGTTGAAATTCTTTAGCCATGTTGTACATTTTTAATCCAGAGCCCTGGCAGCTTGAAAAACAAAGCTAGATTTTCAGTTCCAGGATTTTCAAAAGTGTTAAAACAAAAACACCTGAAATTCTGTTAACCCCAGTAGCTAGGGGACCCTTGGGGAGATGCTCTCTAGCAAGGTTTTCAGTATTTCTTGGTTTTGGTCAGGTTAGTAACTGGATAGCACAAGAACCACCTTTCTCTTGGTATTTCTTCTTCCTGTCCTGGCTGAAATTCAACGCAAATACATGATGTAGTTACTTTACAGGTTTTATGTTGTTCACACACACGGTACCAAAACCTTAGAAAAGTTTTTATAAACTCACCTCTACAATCAGAAACCAGCCAGTGAAAAATCACCAAAAATAGCATTCATTTGTAGCAGCTTTCCTTGTGTCTGAAACAATTCACTTTGTACTAGCAAGGACCCACTTACTCCATGATTTACAGGGATGGATGAATTGTCATTTTTTTCTTGAATATCTTTGTGCATAGGATTTTACTCATGTGAGTGGTCACAAACAAAATGAATAATAAGAACGATCTGAAACTATTTGTGTGAGGAAATGAAAGTTGTCTTGAAATTAAATGGATTTTGAGGCATATAATATCAAATGACACTAATCCTCACTAGCAGTAAGAATTTTATACATTATTAAAGAAACCTAAACAGGAGTTATTTGAAAAGCTGCTGATATGCCATAATTTTTTTGTCCAAGTTCATAAGTAACAAAGAATTGTCAAAAAGAAGAAAGGTCAGACTTAATTTAAAATAAGTTTATGCTCAGCTCTTCTCATATTTATACTTCTAAAATGTACTGATTTTGTAGACTTTACAGCTAGATTCTGTGAAGCCCAGCGAAATGTGCCCAGCTGCAACAGATGTGTTTGCTTACTTTTTTAATATGTCCAAAGTGCATAAAAAAGCAAGACACTCACTGCAAAAACAAAACTCAACTATATTTTGCCTTCCCTCTGCAATAGGAAGTTTCTGAGGTGCTAGAATCAGGGCTTGGTTGAATGAATGAATGAGTCAGATCTCCCTATCATAATTTTTTTTTTTAAGAGAAAAGGAAAGACATGTAAAAAGAGAACTCACAGCTTAACTTTCCCGGATATGTAATGGAGGTGCCTCATAGGTTCATCCTGGAGTTAGCTTTGTCTGTTGTGCACTTCAGAATGTGTTGAATGTTGGGTCAACATTGCTTTCAAAGTATGCTTGTGGAAAAGGAGTTTTTCATCCGTTAGAGCATTGGAAATATTTGGCCATTTCAGAGAGGGTGTGGGTACAGAGAAGCTGTGGAATCGCACAAAATACTGTTCACATGTTAAATATTCTTTTATGAGCAATATGGTAATACCTTGTGGAACGAAGGAAAACATTCCTCAAGGAATATGCCGTCTAAATGGTTCTTAGGCTGCAAAAAGGAAGTGCCTTTAACAGAGAAGTTAATCCTCCCGTTTTTTCCCAAACCTGTTACATTCCGAATGAGGTTTTATTCAGGTTTGTCCTCCTTAGGCTGTGCACGGACATCATTTTTTAAAGTGTTTAAAAAAAATGTGAGTGCATCGTGAGGGAGGGGCTTGCTGCACAGGAGTACATATCAGCTGTTCCGATTTAGCTGCTACATCCATCTGCTGCTATAGCAGTGTAAGAGGCCCAAAAACTACTATAGCCCTGCTTCGTTCAGGGTTGAAGTTATACCAGTTTTGCTCCATCTTACACCATAATAGGAGCATACAGACATAACAGCTATAGTGGAACATCTTACGCAGGTATAATTTAATGGCAGTGCAACTGTTACAGTGTCCACACCTTTGGAACACTTGGTAGATAAAACACTATCTTTTTGGCTCACAAGTCTTGGAAATCGGAGGAAATTTGAATACTGGAAAACTTTTTCTTTGACCTTGAAATAACTTTGTTTTTGTCTCCTATGTTATTCTGATAAAAGCTTTTGTTTACTTTCGTATTTTTAAGTAATGTTGCATATCTCCATTACTCACCAAATGCCAGGCCTGATACAGGCCATATCTATTATCTGCTATATATGTTGACTTTGTGATACTATTTATTTTTGTGGTGTACGTGAGTGAACTTCCCTTCTCTATGGTATTCCTCGCATTGCTGCGGCATTCTTTTGTTCCCTGGCTGACAGGTACATTTCATGCCAGAAAGTTAGAAGTATTTGTCCTCACTCCAACGTCCTCAAACACTGTCTTGGATCCACCCTGACGCTATCTTGTTTGACCTTGGTAGTACAGACACCAATCACCTGCTTTTTGGGCTCCTCCCCATTTTGTTCTGGTTCATTTTCCAAACACTTCTAAGCAGTTTTAACCTTGTTTTTAGAAATCTGCGTTGTGTCACAAAACCATCTCCTACGTGGCACGTCTAGGTGATGTATCTTTTTTGTGCTCTAAACTGGAATCCGTGTTTTAAACAGTGCTTCTGCCTACATGAGTTGGTTAAGGTGGCTTACCTCTGGATGCTGACAAGAAATGTCCTCTTTTGTTTTGCTTAATATCCTCTGTATTAAAGACCATTGATTATTTAGCCATGTGTTTCCAACCCCTCTCAATGAAAGTCATTGCAGGGGACAGTGGACATGAGAAAAATATGATCAGTGGATCTTTGATCACTCCAAAACTAAACGTGTGTGTCTACATGCTCTTTCTTACTATAACTATGGTTATCACGGTAGTAATGTGCTAGTAGAATAATGATTGTAGTTCTAGTTCTGTATTTCTCTATCGGCAGGTACTCTCCTTCTGTTCAACATTATATTTTTAAATAGTCCTACATAACCTGTACTTTCAATCTTCCTTGTCTTCTCATGAATTTAAGGGGACTCCTGTCACAGGATTCCCGCTACTTACTTGTTGCTATTGATTGCTGGCTACATGAATTATTTGTTCTGCCACATCAAATATATTTCATTAGTGTTTTTATTTCACACAGGATAATTTTGGCATCTGCCATTTCATTCAACAGTTTAATAACTTAATGGATGAAATTCTTGCACTAAAACTTTTCAGTCTAGGAAATCTACTGGCATGGGCTCCCCCTGCCTTCTCCCCCAGTGTGGACTAGTCTATTCAGGTCAAGAATGAAAGATCAGCTTTCAGATTTTAGGCTTGGATAGGAATATTAAAATTAAACTAAAAAGTCAACTGAACCTCTTCAAACTTTAAAGGCAGCTCAGTGCTGCTTGAGGTAGGGGCCAGTTTTATTTCATATGCTTCATCCATGCCTGGCACCGATGTAAAACATCTAGCTCCAGGAGGTAAAAGAAGAATGCCGTTTACTGAAACTTTCAGCTTACTCATTATTTCCTCTTAATAGCCTGAAACATCAAGTAGGGAATACAGAAGGCTGG